AAAAAAAAAAAAAAAAAAAAAAAAAAAGAAGGGGGGGGGGGGGGGGGGGGGGGGGAATAAGAAACAGGAAAAGCAAAGAGATCTAGTAAATTTACCAATAGAAAACAACACTGAAAATAGCAAAAGCAATAATTATGATAAAACTGTTTTTGTGTGTGCGTGAGAGAGAGAGAGGGGTGTAAGTATAAACCCGGATGAAATGGGCTAGAGGGAAATCAGTGGAAAGATGAGAGAAAACTTGGTCCATGTGCTTGGACGCCTCGCACCACGACGCCCAGAAGTGTAGAATGACCGGAGAGCCCTCCCCGATGGTTTGATCAAGCTCGGCCTTCGATTTTACCTCCTTCACAGCCCCTTCCACGCCGCCTGCCATTTTTACTAGCTTTAGCTCCTCCAAGCGAAAGAAGAGAGCAAGCAGAGAATTTATTCGCGAGGGAATTTTGGCATTGACGTTATAACAGCGGTCCACAAAATCGTGATTTTGAACCAGAATTATTGTTTCACACAAATGCGATTTCTCTGTTTAACAGTGGCTTAGGTCTTCGGCCGAAAGCAAAGTTAACCCAAACGTGCTCATTCTACTTCAAATTTAGCCCACGTTTGAGCCCACTCAATTTGCTATTGAGCTTCGCTTGTAGTGAAGTCCAATTAAATTAAATTTTGCCCAAAGACAAACAATATTCATTTTTTCCTGTTTAACAGTATATTTTCCCTTCACATCATTGGATGTAATCCCGTATATACAATTTTTATGTACAAGTAACGTAATCCAACAATATATTGGGCCGTCGGAAAATCATAATTTTGTTATCGTAACGATTGTTTTCGTAGCATCAGATAACATAGCATAGTTTGTATGATCATCTTGTTTTCGTAGCATCAGATAACATAGCATAGTTTGTATGCCGATGATCGGAATAGATTTATCTACTCGACCGTCCCGCTATGCCAAAAGCGACAGAAACCCCATCCCTCTCTTTTCTTTTTTTGCCCCCATGTCGAAAATCGATTTATCTACTCAACCCTAAAATTATGTTATTTCACAATCAAAGAAACTGAAATGAATTCATTACTAGATGCAAAAAAAAGCTGTACAATCTGCAATTACTGAAAGTGAAACATCAAAAATTTCCACCTTCAACCAAACTGCTCTCTATAGCGCAAGCACATACGGAACCAATCAAGAAAATTGCGTCGATCACGAACGAGCCCCAAAAGAAAATAATGAAGATAAAGAGTGAGCCAATCCTGAAACAATAGCCACCTTCACTTGTCCCCTCTTCGGAATCGGACGGCTGTACTCAATCCTCCTCCTCAACAAATTTCTACCGTTGATCGTCTCTCTTCTCCTTCCTCCTGCCATTTCTGCAACTGTATGAAAAGTTGTTCACCAAATTTAGTACCAATGGTGTGTTGTGAGATAAGATTAATGTTGGGCGTCCATATATATAAAGACCAAAAGTTAATAAATGCCCCTGGATTTTGAAAAATTGCGTTACACTTTTCTAATGGCCTTTTCAATTTGGTGGCACTAGGAAAGAGGTGGAAATAATTTATTGCATTTTGCATAAAAATCACGTGGGGATAATTGGTGGCTGGCTATCTGACAAAATCTTATTATGTGCTTTATGATCCATGATGTTGAAGGTACATTGAATTAGGATAAGTATTTGTAATGTTCTATGTATCCTAAATTGTTGTTAAAGCTTAATGTCGCCATCTTAGTCTAAATTAAAATTTTATATATTATCTAGTATAAAGTATATATATGTTACATATTGAATATGCTTGATTAGAAATGGAGTATATTGAGAATATGGTCGAGTTTCGTCGTGAGATAATATCAGTTTGAAGAACTCCTCGTGTATTTCTTCAACAAATCTCCACCTTTGATCTAATCCTCAACCCCATTGATAGAACCTATTTGTGTACCATTGAAGATGGAGAGAATTGGAAAGAAGTGAATAAAGAGCTTATGGCTGGCAATTGGCTGCTGTATAGGTGGAGGGCTTTACAAAATAGTCCCTTTGAGTTTGGTGATAAATAATAAATATGATAATTCCAAAGTGATAAAAAGTATGATGGGGCCAATTATTGACGGTCAAAAGATGCAATGATTCTTGTCTGTGCCAAAATTCAATGTGACATAATAGGATTTAATCAATAATATGTCTAGGAGTGAGATAAAATTAGTACTTTAATATAAGGTAATTAGCCCCAAAAAAAAAAAAAAATTCTTTACATTTCAATATTTTTGTGTCAAATGTCCTTACCTTTTATTTTTTAACATTTTTACCAATTTTTTCACCTTTCAGTGTGGAAAATATTATTTTCATCCAATTTCTCAATAAAAAAAAATGTAAAACGACAAATTATTGACGATTACTAAAAAATATGATAATTCCAAAGTAATAAAAAGTATAATTGGGCCAATTATTGATGGTCAAAAGATGCAATGACCAATATTCAATGTGACTTAATCAATGATATGTTTAGTATATTCAAAAACCAAATCACTTACTCAAAGAAATGTACAAATATTGAACTTATCTACTAAATGGAAAAGACGTAGTTGAAAGCAACAGACTAGACATTTCATGTCCACCTCCACCGTGCTACTTTCAAATAATGTTTGTTCAACCGCCTCCACCTCCAACTCCAACTCCATCGTGACACCTCCAAATAATGGCTTCTCCACCACCTCCTCCTCCATTGAAGTCCACAAATATTTATTATAAAAATTATGTTTCCAAGGACTTGATTTGTTCTATGTGACACTGCAAAATCTCATGTTTAACAAAGGATAATATGGTCATTTTATGCAAATGACAGGGAAGAGATAATATTTTTTATGTTACACGCAAAACATAGTTCTCGGAACAATCACACTAAAAGATTGCACCACTACCAATTTGCATATGCTTCACGTGAATATTAAGGTCTTTTCTTGGAAAACCATTGTCAACTGCATTTGATAAAAAAATAAAAAAAATACAACCACTACTCCCATCTTCCCATTGTATTTTACTTATTTCTTCAACAAAATGTTTCTATTTTGAAATTAAAAACTAAATATTATTGAACCAAAAAAAAGTTGTTCATGAACCAATGCCAAGGGGCAAAACTTTCACGTTTTTAAGGAAGAGTAACAATAAACTAAGCATTCATCTCTAGAAGAATTAAATTTGTAACCACGACAAATCATATATTTGACATGTTTGTTCAACTTATAACCATGAAAATCTACATCCATTATGAATGTACTATAATGGTTAGTAGTTAATAATTATATTATAACTCCATAAATTAATTATAATTCAATTTCATGTTGTTCAATTAAGTATAAAATTAAAATTTTAAATTCTATTCTTTTATTTGAAGTACTTAAAATTATATGTTAATCGAATTAAGTTTTAATCACTTAAAACTTGAAGCTCATCTATTTATAATCATATTTTATAATTAAAATAGAATAGTTAAGAATCAAAGTCCCATTTGAATTGTAAAAGGATAACACTTAAAAGGTGAAGTAGTAGTTATGCGAAAATAAAGAGGATTGTTGTTAATCTTAAAGGCATAATAATTAGGAGTTATTTTGCTTTAACATATTCGCAACCTCCATTAACATGTTTCCCTTAGAAATTAGAAGTCAATCCATAACATTTTCAAATTTATTTAAAAATTGATTTTTTTTTCTACATTAAATATTATAGAGGAGAATTTTTTTTCCGAAAATGGACTTTTATTAAGTTTTGAAGGTCTTTTTTCTTTAGAGAAAAATATGTAATTAGAATAACGAATTTTCATTTTCAGTCATCGAATTGGTTTGGTTATTAATATAATCCAACTTCGAAAGATACTTTGTAAATTATGCTTTTTATGGTTTGTAAACTTATTTAAAAAATAAAAAATCAATAACTACTTTAGTTGTTCAATTGAATATTTTTCTTCAAAAAATTTTAACTATTCTAATATTAAATAAATTTAATCAATAAACTTTCATTTTCAATTGAGTCTCTTTTTCAATAAATTTGAGGTAGACTAATGAATCAATTAAAATATATTTTTTAATTTTTTTCTTCCCAAATTTTTTTAGTTTTTTTTTTTAAATGAATAGAAAGGTATTGTAAAGATTGAAGCCCATATTATACGAACTAACAGCTTAGTGCATTACTGAGATATATTATTTTAATCTCAACTATAAAAATAAAATATAAATAGATAATTTTGGGTTGCAAGTATTTGAATTATAAAGGCCATTTGGTTTGCATCTCAATTTCTATTTTGAGTTTATTTTTAATTTTTTGTTCTGCAGGTCCGTTTTAAAATTGTTAGGACACATTTAGTTTGTCATTTTGAAAATTTATTTTTAAAAACAGAAAACTAAAAAGATGTTTGGTTTGAAATTTTAAAAAATTATTTTATTACATTTTATTCAATGAAATTTGATTATTCAATAAAAATAAAATTATTTTATGTTGATATATTATTAAGTAATATATACATTTTAAAGTTCATTAATCTTACAATATCTTTTCTCACAACAAAAGTAAAATAAAATTAAATAATAAATTGAGTTCAAAATATGGAAAATAAAAATAAAAATAAAAATTCAAGAGAGAATTTTCAATACGTCTATACTTTGCAATAACCATTAACAAGGCTCAAAATCAAATGGTGCCTACTGTTGAAATATAACTACTTCAACATGTACTCTCTCACGTGCTACTAGATGTCGTATTTTTATTTATTTATTTTTTTGCATAGTTTCAATGCAAACAATAAAAGTTTTGATAAAATCAAAAAGAGAAAAGCTGTCGGACGTTGACAAAAATATTATCTACAAAAAAGAGTTATTGTAATCAATATATTACACTTTAGTTTACTCAATATTTTTACATTATATTCATAACTTTATAAAAAAAAAAATTATTCATACACATTCTTGAACAACTTAAATTTTTCTTTAATAATATCAATTGCCTCAACTATTTTCAAAAACACTATCAATACTTCAAAAATGTTGCATGTATCATTCCTCTTATACATAACGTGCGATGCATGTGCTTACTACTAGTGATACTAAAAAGTTGCTTTTGACCCTATTTGAAGTGTCTCATGATGCAATCAAAGGCGTACCTAAACTACAAAAGGGAAAAAAAATAAATAAAAAATCAACAGAGCATGATGGATGTTCTCACCTTAGATCGTACATCCGCGGCATGCCTATGGAAATCAAACGGATATATACAAGGAAAGGCAATAGGTTCAGTAGTTGCATATTTTTAACTAGTAAAAGCACTTATTTCCCAAATACCAAGATATAGTATAAGAACACTTTCAAAAGACTCTCTATTTATAAAGAGTATCTTATACATAATGGATAGTATATTTAAATTTAGAGAGTAATTTTTTTATACACCCTACAAGTTCTCTACTTTGATTCTTTATTTTGTTTTTCTATGAACATTTAATAATGTCTCCACATATTTTATTTAATTATAATTTTTATATATATTAATGACCAATCAATTCAAATGTAATTTGAAAATTTTAAATTGTAGAGTATTGAAATTTGTAATTATTAAATGCAATCATTATACATTAAAAATAGATAATGAGTTTTGCTATCTAAATTTGAAAAATCAAACACACTCTCCATTTTAAAAGGTTATTTTAAAATAGAAAGTCTCTTAAAACTCATTTTTAAGTATTGACTCTCTAAAATAGAAAGCATTTTATATTTAAAAAATCTCTTAAAGATGCTCTAAGTTCTATAAAGTTAATAAGCCTGGGATTGGGAAATTTTATTTTATAAAATAGATGTTATTAATTTAGTTCATGTTTGATAAATGATTAAATTTAATCACTTATTGTCAAACATACTTTTATATACACATTTTTAGGTATTATCCAATCATTATTCACACATCCCATAGAATCAAAAGCTTAAAAACACTTGAATTTTAATTTAATCAGCTTATCAAAGGTGCACTTATAGAAAATTAATTTACCACATTAGTCCAAATTGGGATCAGGAAATGATAGTGTATAAAAGAAACTGTTAATTTATAGAGGTTAAACTGTAAAAGGGGAATGTTCGTGCAAAATTCGCGAGTGTACGGATTCATTCACAAATAAAATTTGATGAGTTGAGAATATCGTTCTATAGGGAGTAAATTTCAACTCAAATTTACTAGTTATGTACGGAAATTCGAATTATGTAAATAAAAAAGAATTTGATTTTGAAATTACTCTAAATTAATATAAGAAAACAATAAATGTTTGATTTTTGTCAAATTGTAGATGATTATATTGGATTTCAAATCCACATATTGCTATCTATTTTAATTAATGATTTGTAATCTAGTTCCATTTATATGTTCTTGAAATTGATGAAGCTATGATATATAATTTTCTTTTTCAAGAGAAATTAAATTTATCCTAACTATTACCCGAATCTATTCCTAACACAAATTCGAATGGTTAGAGTGCATTAAAATTTAAATTATCTATATGATTGCACATACAATCAATATTATTCTTAACATTTATTGCATATATGTTAATTTTGCCGTGTTTTAAATTTATTGCGAGTCCCCCAACACTACAACAAATAATTAATTATCTAATTGGTGGACAATCAATCAAATAATACAAAAGGTATGTAAATTTAGTTAAGAAACAAAAGAATGAAACTAAACTATTAGTCTTAGATTAAAAATAAATAACAAATAGAGTTCATCTTCATCCAATATAAAAAGCGGGTCTAGCCTAGCATATTAATATATAAATTACAAGAAGAATAATAAAAAATATCACTTGAAAATAAAAACAATGATTGGAAAGTAAAAGATCAATTTCTTTTATGTTAATCTTCAATCCGGATGTTGAATCTTCAATTTTTTTTGTTTTAATCACCTTTGAATCCTCCGCTAGCCTCCATCTTGTGGTAAAAATTATATATGATAACATGTCCTGCCATTCTAGCCATCTCATGTTGTTTAAATAGTAGGTTAAATTTGGCTTACATAGAGTTCAGGTCAAAACACGAAAGCTGGGCTGTTCGGTCCAAAATTTGCCCAGTATGAGAACATTCAAAATTTGCCCCAGTATGACAGGATCCCCCGCGCGCGCCACTTTAAAACCATGCGTACACAGTTATAAAATCTTCTAATTGTTGCACTTTGATCCATGTACTTCGGTCTTCATTCATTTTAACTCAAGGCGCTTTAATAAGTGATATCAAAAATGGAACCAAGGTCGAGAACGTTGAAAAAATTAGTCATCCACAACTACCGATGAAGGATTCCTCGAAAAGTTAAAAAATTAGTCATCTATTTCATGTGTAGCCTACTCGGGACCTTGCTAACAGCTTTTTGTCTGATTCTATTCCAAACAGTTTGGGCCAAATCCTAAAGAAATCTAAAAAGCTCTGTTTGATGATCCCGTGCAGTATTAGGTAGTTGGTCAGATAAAGGCTAACCAACATAAAGGACATGTTTATTTTCCCCTCGATGAATCTTTAGAATTCTCATTGCTTAGCTTTCAATTTGCCTTTGATCATCAAACGAAACTTCTGTAATCATCGATATTGGGTCTGAATCAACTATTAACCCTTTGCAGTTCAGTCTCCAAACTTTGGATTCAACCCCTTTTAGCCAATTTTTTGCTCCTTTTGTAAACTTCCATCGTTTTTCATTGAGATGCGCTTAACAAATGAAATATATATAAAATTAGGTCTCATTTCATTTAAAATAACAATAATTTCTCTAGTTTAACGATGCAAATAAGTGTATTGAAACAAAAAACAAAAGGAATAGTGGGAATTATACCTTCATGGACTCCTCGGGGCGTGAAGCCTGCACAAATGTCAAATATTACAAACATAGGCAAAGAAAATGAGATTGATCCATTAGATAAATCGAAGTGCGTATAAAAGTAAAAAATCAATGGTCCCATCATTTAGAATTTTTCACAGGATTAGTAAACCTAACTTTTGGATTTCATCACATGGGCCCCAGCCCCCATTTGATATATATATATATATATATATTTATTTATTATTTTTTTTTTTTTTAAAGTCTGGATTCCCTCACGAGCAATGTTTTCAATGTCAACTACTCTCACTCTCTTTGTGAGATCGCCCTACATATGATCCAAAATTTATCAATAACAAAGATTACATGACTTTTACTCAGCTTACGCCTTTGTCTGATTGTCATTGCGCTATCATTTAAGCTTAATACACAGTGCAAAGTTTTAGTTGGCGAACTGCTAGCTCATACAAAATAATTAGATACAATAAATAAGTTTATAAAATACCATCATGACTCATGCGGTAGTAGTTTACCTATGCACAATAGCCGAGTGTCATGTCCATCCCCCATCCACGAACAAGATCATTCTAACAGAGATAGCTGGGTGTCGGATAAGTTGAAATGAAAGTATAAGATTGAATTTCTCAAAATTGGAAAGGCAACTTAAAAGATTCAGTAAAGTCGAGTCTCCAGAGCATATATTTTTGGAAGTCACCGAATGGGAGTTTTTTGAGAGGAAAGCACCAAAGTTGACTGTATTAAACACCAGGCACAATACCATGCAGAATTTGAAAACACAGGAGCCATACGTTCCGCAAGTCTGCAAATTTGAGATAATTACTGTTGACACATAAAAATTCAGCCCAAATCGAACAGCCCAAGGAATGAAGCCTAATTGGAGGATCCCCAAATCAGATAGCCCAAAGAACGAAGCCCAATCGAATAAATCAAGATGAAGACCCAAATAAGGAGGCCCAAGAACGCGGTAACGCCATCGCCCAAGTTTGCAAGTCGCCCAGAATCTGAGCGAATGGAGTGTCATACAGTCGCCCAGAGCTGTTACTCTATTCTCGCCCAAATCTCCAAGTCGCCCAAGGTATTAACAAACATAACGCGTCGTGGTTATCAAGAAGTGCAGTTATCAAAACAGTTATTAAAGCAGCCCTATCACGTTCCACGATTCAATGAATTCAATCGAAAGCGGTTGAACGATGAAAGGTAATGGCAGCAGTTAAAAGGCAGTTTTCATGACAAGATGGCCATTACGAAGAAAGTGGGTAGTTATAGGACGATCAAGCAGTTTTTAGAGTAGTTGATCACAAAGAGATCGTCTATGAAGTATAAAAGGGAGAAATGACATAGAAGCAAAGGACCGAATCCAAAACTCTCGAACAGAGAACATGTAATTTTCATTTCCTTAGTTTTTAGATTTAAACACTTTTCTTTCAGTAACTCGTGTGCTTGCGCCCCTTGGAGGCACGTTGTTTTTCATTTCTAATTGTAAAGTCATCGCCAATAAAAGAACACCCCTTTTTGGGACTTTGTCTCAAGAGGTTTGTCCCTTACACAATCGTCTGATCCTTTTTAATTGTTAGCGACTAACCCGCGCGAAACAATTTGGCACGCTCAGTGGGACAGTGGTGTTAGGTGTTGAAAGTACAAAAGGGGAAACAATATGCCTCAGAAATCCGATAAAAAAGCAGCAAGTCAGGGAGGAATCCAGTCTGTGATCGAGCGATACGAGGAGCAGCATGCCTCTCCACGAACAGATAGACAGAATCAGAGCAGTAACAGTCGTTACGAACCAATGACGGAGTTGAGTCTTCGAACAATGCGTGCATTACTTGGAGAACTCACGCAAGACGTCGTTGAACAGGTAAATCTTCGAAGTATTCATAATATGGAAAGATTTACACAAAATGGGAATGTACACTATGACAACATGACCAAACAACTAAAGACGTTGAACGAGACAATGAATAAGTTATTAGGCCAAATATGTCAACCAGCTATACCTCTTACAAATCACTTTCAAACTAGGATGATCGTGAGACATAATCCCTCGGTCCTAAATCCGAGTCAAGAGCTAGAACCGCTTTCTGGTCCCTCTACTTCAAACCAAGGGGGTACTACAGTACCAAATCAAAGCAATGGTAGTGGTATGCCTAACTTGGGGGGTAATCCAAACGTGAGAGATAATGTCCTAAACAATGGACAGAATATTCCACGTGGTAACGAGGGAGTAGATGTTCAGGCTAATGGTAATGGCCCTAATCATGGTAATTTTGTTGCCAATCAAGGACCAAATATCAGGCCTCATGCAAATCAACCGGTTAACCAACCTGTAGGAATTCCATATGACCCCAATGTCATGTTGAAAAATCAGATTATGGAAATCGTACAGGATCAGATGGCTTTTGGGGTACATCCCGTCATTAGGCCGACGTACACAAAGCCATATCCTGATTGGGTAGACCAAGCATATCCATGGCCTAGAGGGTACAAAGTGCCGGAATTCTCACTGTTTACCGGGTTAGGAGAGGTGTCTACTCTAAAACACATAGGGCGATTCACATTGCAAAGTGGTGATGTAACCGATTACCATAAAATGAGGCTTTTCCCTAGTTCGTTAACAGGAGTAGCTTTCTCCTGGTTCATCAACTTGCCAGCGAACTCTGTTCAAACATGGCAACAATTGGAACAGTTGTTTCACGCTCAATTTTATAAAACTGAGTCTGAAGTCACTTTGGCCGATTTGGCGAATTTACGTCAAATGCCAAATGAATGGGCAGAGAGTTTTCTCCAAAGGTTCAAGACAGCAAGAAGCAAGTGTTTTGTACCTCTGCCTGAAATAGAATTTGTCAAGATCGCTCAAGGCTACTTGAGCTTTGATTTAAAAAAGAAGTTCCAAGACAAGGAATTTCCTGACCTTTTCCAGTTGAGTGCGAATGTGATTAGGTATGAGCGACTGATAAGAGAGGAATAACAAATGAAAAATTCTAGTAAAGGGACTTATTACAAAGACCCAAATTTTGACGTTCATACCATCGACTACGAGTCATACGATCAGGCCGAAATGTGTTTGGTCGAATTGGTCAAAGGGGATACATATACTTGTCCCATAATGGCCAAGCCTAGACCATCGGGCAAAGATGAGCCCATAAAGGATGGAAACATAAAGGCTAGAACGTTCTCGTTCGACTTGACCAAAGCTGACCTTATATTCGATAAATTATATAGGGATAAGCAGATAAAGTTGAGCGATAAACACAAATTGCCAAACCATGAACAAATTAAGGGTAAAAAATCTTGTAAGTGGCAAAATGCATGGTCACATTTGACTAACAATTGCTTGGTTTTCCGTCATGTATTGTAGGATGCCATTGAATCAGGACGAATTACGTTCGATGATAAGAAAAAGATGGCAGTAGACGAGAATCCTTTCCCACAGCCACTTGGAGTAAACATGGTAACATCTGGATTCAAGAACAAGTTACCAAAATTTAAATTGGTCGTAGATGATGGAGAAGAAGATCCTAGACCACATCCCAGCGTCTTTGAACGAATCAAGGGGAAAGAACCAAAAAAGGACGAAGACGTCCTGTGTGCAAGGTGTAAAAGAGAAGTGAATGGAAACACGGAGAAACCAGGAACATGGCAGCATCCTCATCACCCTGCCTTCTTCCCAAACATTCAGCCTGGTAGAGGGCGAGGTACATCATTCTATAGAGGACCGCCTTTTGAAAGGCAGTTAAGGCCAGCAGATACTGGAAGAACATTTAGGCCGCAACCTTGCCGGCCAAATGTATGGCATTCATTTCAGTACAGTGCAGGAAGGGCAATACCCTTCGATGAGATGACTAGGACCCAACAAAGACGTTTCCAACGAAACTACGGATGGATGATGAGGCAGCAACAGGGAATGCCACATCCTAAAGCGTCTAAACTACTCAAGGTAGCAAATCAAAATGTCCTCAAAAATAGTAAAGAGACTGGTACAGATGAATCAATGAAGGAACTGCCAGAAACTTCTTCTGGGAGATCAAGGTTTGAGCGGGACAGAAGGGATGAAGAAGATCCAAATCAGCCCCTTGCTATCCAATTCGGTACGTTGCCTCCTGTAGTGGCCAATAATTATCTACTGGCCAATGAATTCAAGAATAAGGAAAAAGAAGAAGAGAGGAAAGACAACGAAGAAGAAGCTTGCGTGTTGGTATGTGAAGGAGGCCAGACTTCTAGAGAGGCCTACAACGATGAGGAGGACGATGGGATGATAGACATTGAAGAAGAAATCGACCTAGAAGCAGAAAGGAAAAAGAGAGGAGTATCGCGCAATACTCTGTTTAAGCAACTACATCAAGAGGGAGTTCGCGAAGTAGATTTGTTGGGGGAGCCATCTGGGCATCCTTTCGATTTTTACGTACTGTATGGGACACCCAAAAGGAAGAAGAGAGTGCCTCGCTCTGAAAAGTATGGGTCACCTCCAAGAATAATGCCCCCTTCCACGGGTTGGATAACTGATGAGGAAGCATTAGAAAAAAGTAAGAAGGAAGTTTAGGAGACAGAGGATCAGCGTGATATACTGCACGTCGACTTATCACAGGGGGATAATTCGACAGAAAACAAGCAAGAGGTAGAAATAGAGGCTGCCGAAAAGGTTATTTTTAAACGGCCAGCCATGAAATTGACTAAACACTTGAGGACATTATATGTTAAAGCTCTAGTTAACGGCGTCACAGTGGCAAAAGTGCTTGTCGACAATGGAGCAGCTATAAACACCATTCCATCTAGGATGATGAGAAAGTTCGTAAAGACAGAGGGTGATATGATTCCTACAGAAGTCATCCTCACTAGCTTCAATGGAGGAGCAACTTCAGCTAAGGGAGTTATGCCATTGGACATAACTATAGGTACGACTACTAGGACCACTGTCTTCTTTGTAATAGATGGTCCTACTAGTTACAACGTGCTCCTAGGAAGAGATTGGATACAAGAAAGTCGCTGTATACCCTCGTCGCTCTATCAATGCCTGATTTTTTGGAATGACAAAGGCGAAGCAGAGGTGGTACAGGCCGATCATATGCCTTTTGTCGCAGAAGCAAACTCGGTGGAAAAGTTTATGTACGAAGGAAACTATGGACTTGTCAGAGTAGTACAAGACGGGGAAGAAACTCAGGTTGTTGCGCAAAGCGAGAACCATTCTCAGTGGACGCACTCACTGAGATGTTCAAACAGATGAGGCCAAATATAGTGGCCCTGGAAGAGCCAGTAATTGGCAAAAGAATAATTAAGGAGTCTTGAATGGACTTTAAGTTACAAAAGCAAATGGCCGACATTCAGGCCTTCAAAGCCAGACTGATGGCTTTCAATAAGGAATGCAATGACAAGGCGAATGAAGAAACTGCCCTAAAAGCGCTGAAGGACAAGTTGGCAGTATTCGATTTAGAGCAAAGCATTGGCCGAGAAGTCAACAAGGTGGACTGTTTGAAAGAGGAAGTATTTACAAGAGAACTGGACGACGAAGTGATGCGGATTGCCAAACCTGGATACGCTCAAGCACAAAACCCTCTGATCAAAGTAAATATTGGCGATGAAGGAGA